CCCATCCCCACTTGCTTCCCTGGGGTCAGTGGGCTGCTGGGTGCTGGCTGCAGGCAGCCTGCCTTCCCCACCCTGTTCCCAGGATGGGACAGGCCGGGCTCCTGGCAGCACCTGCTGCCATAGCTCCAGACCCTGCTGACCCCCCTTCTCTTTCTGCAGGCCCACTGGTCCAAGCCCATGGCACCCAAGCTTAGTGGGCACAGGACTCCCAGACAAATGGGATGAGGAGCTGCCTGTGCCCCAAGCCTCCCTGCTGGGGGCCTTTCTGGGGAGGCACCCCAGGGCCAGCCCCCCTTGTGCTGCACCCTGAGTGTGCCCTTGCTGCATGTGTCCTGGGTGCTGTGCAAGGAGCTGTTGGCACAGACCAAGGGGTGCCCGACCTACTACGCCCTGCTGATGATGACTGTCATAGTGCTCTGGGTACACCAGTGCACCTGGCATGGGTCCCTGAGCTTTGATGGAGCAGGGGGGCAAGCCCGGGCTCCCCATGACCTCCACCACAGACTGGAGAGCTACCTGTGGCTGCACCACACATCTCTGCCCCCCTGCAGCTGAGGAGGACATGACCACTGGCATCAATTCATTCCTTGGCATATGAGAGGTCTGTGCCTGCCTAGCTGCAGGGGCATAGGCTGCTCAATAAAATTTTGCACTTTCTCCCACCTCCCTGTATGCTGGGGTGGGGGGGGGTCCTGGGGCCTGGGGAGTGCAACCTCTCTGAGAAGGGAGGGCACAAAGGGCAGAGGCTGGGTCAGGGAGGGGTCTCCCCCCCAGTGCAGGGCTTACCATGTGGCCAGGGCTGGCATGGTGGTGGCTTGGGTCAGTCCCAGCTGGTGGTGATGGCATGCTGCTCTGGGTGGACTCGCTGGATGGGAAGGCACAGCATGCAGGTGCCCGCCCAGGGGACCTCCCAGGGAGGAACTGACACTGCTGACAGCCAGCAGTGACATGGCCAGCCACATCTTGAGGCTGGGGCTGAGGTTGTTGGGGCAGGCACTGGTGTAGGCTCCCCAAACTGCTGGTGGAGGCTGGAAGCAGGGAGCGTGGCAGGATGGGCTGGTGGCGCCCCGAGGGGCCCTCCCCCGGTGACATGTCACCACAGGTGCCAGACCAGTGCAGTGGCTCAGGCAGGCCACAGCCTGAGTTGCGGGGTGCAAGGATGTCTGTCAGCTGCCGCATAAAGGGGATGGACTTGTGGGCACTCCCTGATGATTGTGGTTGGTTATGAAAATCCAGTGTGCTTTCAAGGCCCTGACCTTTATGTAATACTGCCATGCCAACCGGTTGTGCCTGCACTTCTACAACCAGCCTGACAGCCCCTCACAGACATTGGCAATGGAGTGCCTGCCCTGCACAAACTGCCACTGCACCTCCACTTTGCACCATACTGCCACAAGGTCACCAGTCTCCTCCTGCAACCAGTTGCGGCCCTAGGAGGTGGGGTGTGGTGTCAACAATGACGCTATCTGGGCTTCCGTGCTGGCTCTTCAGGCCTCTGCATGGCTAGCCCTGTACTGCCAGGCCTCAGCAGTTGCCTGCAGCACACAGCACAGGGGCACAGCATAGGACTGGCAGCCGCACAGCAAGGCAATGCACCACAGTACCTGCAGACTCCTGGTAGGCTGCTGGCGGTGGGCTGTAGGCAGCTGAAGCTGGCACTGGTGGCCAGGAGCTGCCTACAGCTGGGCCTGGGTTCTGGCAGGCCTGGCAGGAGCCTGGACCAGCCTACAAGCTTGGGTGGTATGACCCTGGCAGCTGCATAGCACTGTGGTGCAGGTGGCCTACAGTCTGCTCAGGGACACAAAGGGGCCTGGAGTGACCTCAGACTGCTTGCTTACACCCCAGGGCTCTGAGTGCCTGTTGGCTTTTAAGGGCCTGCCAGAGAGCCGGCCCAGCCCTGGGGCAGGAGAAGCTTCCAGCCCTGGAGCCCTGGAGCTAGTCTCAGGCTGGCTCCCCAGTGGTGGAGCTGACTGGGAGCAAGTTTTCTCCCGGTTGGTGTCTACATGTGCATTACTGTGCAGTAACTACTCATGAATACATTTGCTACTTGCATTTGCAGATAGCTAATTTACTCATGAGTAGCAATTTTCACTGTGCAGCAACCATGTGCATGTGCAGATGCACACACCTACTGCGCAGTAAACTAAGCTACTGTGCAGTAAAGTGACTCATGCAGACCATGACCAAAATCTGGCCCTGTATAGCATTTACTTGTATTCTAGAGACACCTCCAATTATTGAATTAATGGAATTTTAGCCTTTTCAATGCCAAAATAGTTCAAGTTTCACCAAAATTGTTACAAGCTTTCATTAATCCACTCAAGAAACTCTTACTGGCTTCAACAGAAGTTCACTTGAAAATGAAAAGCATTACATAGTCTGTAAATTGAAGGCTAACTTTTGAAAAGGCCTATCTTTCAAGCTTCAATTTTCTCGTTTTGTTCCTTCAGAACTACCTTCCAAGAAATAGTGTCACTTTTAGTCCAGTTATCTAAGTTCTCTGCAGAGGCTCTAAAATTCTTTAGGAAGATCATTATATGAGATGATTACTGCAAAAGCGATAACCTTGTCTTTAAACTAGCTTTTAAAAAAGCTTACTGTCTCTCAATGATTTTCACATCTTTGACCTCACGTAAGAGAGTGCAAGTCAGTAACAACCAGTATAGTGAAAGCTGTAGAAGCATTTTACCTTCTACTGGGCATTTTCAGATGCCATTCAGAAAACTTCTGTGAAACTGAAAATTTAAGGCTGTAATTTTCCAGGCTGGTTTCTCCCCAGGGATAAATGCTGCTGGTTAATCCACTCACTCTGTATCTTTTAAAGCAGTGGTCTCAGCCCTTTCAAACTCAGAGCACCCCCGTAACCTTTGTGAACTGAACAGTACCTCATTTCAAAAATGAATTTATTTTATTGCTTACCTGTTTGAAGAAGGGCCATGCCAGGAGGAGGAACAGCCATGCAGGGAAGAGCCTGTGCTGCTGTGAGTGTGGGAGGAAGAGAAGAGCTTGTATTTATCTTGTTACTGGATCCTGTCCATACCTCACTTCTCTCCTCTCTCCTGCTGGTACCTTTCAAAGGCTGTAATAACACTCTGGTTGAGAATCACTGTTTTAAAGTAGAAGTTGCAGTGTTCCTGGACTACTCAGAAAGGAGTGCTCTACTGAAGACTTCCTTTGTTGAACTGGGGAGAGCTCTCTCTCAGCATCCATATGGTGCATAAGACACACAGTCCTAACAGTACCCAGATAATCAATCAATTATTGTGACATTTTTAACCCCATTTTTCCCTTAAAAGCAAACACATTTTTAAAAAAAGTCTTGAAATGTCCCTATGGCAAGCGAGTGTTAAGGTGGCTCTCTCTAAAAACTCAGAATTCAAAGTAAGATTACACATTTAACCTTAACTCTGATCCCTCAGATAACAAAAGATTTTAGAAAAATCAGTACAGTCCCCTTCCCTCCCCACCCCAAGCCTCAGCTGTCCAGTTTGAACTGGGCAAAGAATAAGCCTAAATCATATTTCTACTTCTTTGATCTTAGTCTGGCTTGGGGCCAAAACAACCTTTTCCATAGTTTAAGGCAAGCCACTGAGGCCTCTGTACTGGCCCAGAATTGGTAGAATATTGTACACTCTTCCCCACCAGAGATGGGAGGTGCACCCGTTATGAAGTGGTGGTGTCTTGGTAGTCAAGCCAATCTTTGGATGTACTTTTAGATCAAAAACCTGATTGATTGCTTTACTGTGTTCAAGCAGCCATAGTCTGTCCAACAATCTGACCCACAGCCTATATACACAATTACACACTACAAAATAATATATAAGTACAGAGCCTGGTACAGATCTTCTGTAAAGGAAAGTCAGTTAGTGGAGGTTAGCTGGGGCCCAACAGGGATATGTGATGATTTTTGAAGTTTCTGTTAATCTGCCTTGTCATTAATTGAAAACTACTCTTCAGAGTAGAAACTTTGAGGAATGGAAGTTGGTGATGGCAATGAGGGCAAATAGCACTTTGTAGAAGTAGGACATTAAATGAGACACTTTACACAGGAAAACAGGAGCAATGATGGCAGTGTCAAGCCCTAGATCCACCTGACTGTCTTCTGGAAATCTAAAGAACTTTGATTCATTTTGATTACAGTCACTATCACCCTTGTTCTTATCTCCTACATTTTTTACTTTTGATGTCTTCTCTAGTATATGTATTAGAGTATAGCAAAGAATAAGTGCAAAATATATTCCAGAAATTCTGTAGAATTCTACTGTTTATAAATGTATCCTTAATATAAAATCTGACCTTAATAGCCAATCATTCTACATACTGAAATAATTCTTAACCAGTATGAAATGATTGGCTATTAAGGTCAGATTTTATATTAAGGATACATTTATAAATAGTAACCAAGTCTACTAAATGATTAGTAACTGTTTTAAGTAATAGTCAATAAACTGCTACAGATGCCAAACAGTACAAAAACTATCATGTTCCTTTGACTAGACTATCTAGAACTCATGTTTTGATGATTTATGAGACATTTTACTTCTATTTGTAAGAGTCTGAAAACATCTGTTCACTATTTATTATTACTACAAATACTGTTTATACACATATCTTTGAAATAAACTGACCTCATTATGGCAATAAAGTTTGATTATTTTGAATATTTGTATCTTCCACATGGAAAAAGAGTTGTGTATAAAATTTGAATTCTTTCTTTCTTATAACATAGCTGCAAGATTTAAATGGAATGTAAAAAATTCACATCTACTTTCCCATGTAAATGTTAGTAGTTGGAGAGATCATTAGTCATTGAAATAATCAGCAAAAGTAGTTAATTACATAATGAAAAGGAAAATCTAAGCAATTTGTTTTAATTTACATAAACAAATATGTTCATATTCGCTAAGAAATGCCTGGAAAGGGATGAAATGTTTGAAACCCTCATTGCTCTGTGTCATAAACCAAACACTAACTAATGGGTATTTGGAAGAAACTTTCCCATACCATCTGTATTGGCCATTCACACTATTCTAGAATAAATCACTGTTTTGGTTCATTATGCTAATGCTTAAGTTCCTACTTTTTCCTTTTTTGGTTTTGTTTTGTTTTAGAATAAATCTTTGAAAATGTGCCTCTCAAGGTCTTGTCTGTGGACAGCTACTGTTATCTAATTCATTAACTAGTGGTGTGTGGACTGTTATCTAGTCATATGTTGCTAGCTTTCCTTGTCTGAAGCTGACAGAAACAACTATCCCATCTGGCCACGGACCGTCTGCTTGCACCCACTGCTGTGGGGCTGGACAGAGCAGGCGGGGAGAGAGGGCAGGACTCCATGGAGACCAGCTCAGGGATGGGGCAGTGGGAAGGTGGGGAGTGGCATCCAGGAGCAGGGTGGACAGGCTGGGATCGTGGGGCAGTGACAGTGTGGGGACCAAAGTAAGGGCAGAGCTGTAATCTGCTCCCTGCATTGCAAGTCCCTGCAATGAGTGCCAATGCCATAAGTAGGAACATGTGGAGAGTGAATTGCAGCTGTGCCCTGGGCCAGCACTGTCACCGCCCCACCGTCTCCACTCACCTGTCCCACTTCCAGACACCACTCCCTGCCTGCCTGCAGCCCTTTCCCATCTGCCCAGCTGAGCATGCCCTGTCTCTACAGAGAACCTGTCTGTCTGCTCCATCCAGCACCTCTGGTGATGAGTGCAGGGTGGACTGGCAGCAGCAGCTGGGCAAAGCAAGCCGTTGCCAGGAAGCCAAGTCCAGCTGCCATTCTGTACTGCCCCTGCCCCTGCCCCACTGTGTGCCTGGAAGTAGTAGGACCAGCCACATGTGCCACAGCCTGGGCTGCCTCCTCTGCCTGGGCTGGGTGGGACCATATACAATTCCTTGGTGAGTCAGATCTGGCCCACGGGCCATATTTTGCCCACCCCTATATTAGGGGGTCTACAAAAAAGTACTTTTATTGATAGTTTACACTAAGGAAAAAATTAGAAACATGGACCACAAAATGCTAATAGCAATTTTAAAAATAGGTATACTTCATTAGGACAAGGAAATATCCACACAGTAGCAATACAGGCACCATGTACTGCCAGCAAATACTACACAAAGGAAATCTTTATCAGTAGTTAAAAATCACAACTGGGAGATTGTGAGAAGACTTGAATGTGTCAAAATGAAAGACTAGTTTCAAGCTTATACACGGACTGTAAAATAGGTGCTCAGGTGGCAGTAATTTAGCCCAAGGAATACCAGATACTTCTGAAGATGAAAGATCAACTTCTGAAGACGAAAGATTTTGAAAGTTTCAGTGTTCCATTTTTTGAGTCTTCAGAAGGAACATTAGTAACTTTAAAAATTGATTGTGTTTTAATGATTCTGACTTAATGATGATTAATGAAAAACCTGCATTTCTTGGAGCATGAACATTGGGCATTTAATTTGATTACTGTAACTTTTTTTCTGGGTGAGAAACAATCTCTGTGGCTGGGTTCCCCATGAGTAGGGGCATGCGGTTGTTGCAGGGAAAAAAGCAACAGCATAAATTCACGCTGCTGCTTTTTGCTCTGGCACCCCCCCCCGAATGTGGGGTTAGAGTGGGAAAAATTGCTCCAGGTGGGGGAAGGAGGGTGGGGCAGCACCTGGGCTGGCCCCAGAAGCATTACCTGGGACCCTAAGGGCACTCCTGGGGCTCCACTGGCAGTGATCTGGATGTTTGGAGCCTGGCCAGCAACTGAAGCAAGGCTCTGTCTGGCCAGGCTCCAGTTTCAGGCAGTGCATGCTGCTACCACGTGCACCACCCCACTTTCTTCTTGAGTGGGTTTTTTTACACTGGGATCTTCTGATGTCAAAAAACCTGCCACTCTGCAAATCAGCAGCACAGCAAATGCCTGCACCTGTGGCACATGCAGTTTGCAGTGCCACAAACTGCACATGCATGTTAGTCTGGGTGCACCCAGTGAGGTTATGCAGGATATCACACTTGTGGCATCATGCCTTAGTTTTTATTTATTCTTTTAACTAGTTATGCATAACATATATAGTTTTTCCTAATTTGCTGTTGTTTAGTTGTTCTCTTCTAATTCTCTGTATTGACTGTCATATGTAAAAGTAAATTTTAAAATGTACTGACGTTGGTTTTTGAACAGTTAAGTGTCACTAAAATTCCATTTGAATGACCTGTTCTCTTCAGAAAAAGTTCCTGGGCTTGCTTGAGCTATAACATACAGCTTTGCCTGCACCAGCAATCAAGAAGGTCTGAGAAAGGATTATGACTTTGTGAGTAATGCATTACAGTCTTATGGTTTGCATCTTTATTTGCTTTCTGAGGGGAGGTTGGTTGTACTGGCTGGAGTGCTGGTGGATGAGGCTCACACCTGGGGGACAAATCGGGCACAAAGAACCAGCACTCATCCAGAGTCTGGAGCCACTATGTAGAAGCCCTACTTACTGTAGCAGTGCAAAAAGTTGTTCTGCTTGTTGGCCCCAGCACAGCAGCATTAGGGAAAGTCCCAAACTGGCTCTGAGAGGAGGATAAAGTACTCTATAATAGACTTAACACTGGCACTTAAAATCAGGTTTCAGGGAAAAGTCACTGTAGAGTAAGTAAACACAAAGCTAAAGGGAAAAGAGCAATAAGAGGTGGTAAATGGGAATGAATTCAAAATGTGGATTATACGCCGTATTTTACAGGAAATGTATCCATGGTGACCTATATCTACTATACAGCTGTCAATAAGTAACTACTTTAGACGCTACTGCTGTCTACCAGCACTGGCAGAGCTGGGTCTGGTTTTAGCCAAACCTCTTTAACTCCTGCTCACTGCACTGCCCTGATGTTCTTGAGGGGAAGGTATGTTCTGAGCCCAGTACCCACTTGCATTAACAACTGCACCAACACACTAGCCATTTCCCCTCCTGGAAAGTAAGGCTGAAGGAAGAGCAGAGCTACTTGTAGCTTCCGTGTTACAGGACCTACCATG